CCTGGTTCTGCTGGAGGTTTCTTCCTGTTAAAAGGGAGTTTTTCCTTCCCACTGTCGCCAAAGTGCTGCTCATAGGGGGTCATATGATTGTTGGGTATTTCTCTGTATGTACCGTACAATATAAAGCACCTTGAGGCGACGTTTGTTGTGATTTGGCGCTGTGTAAATAAAATTGAATTGAATTGCAGTTTGACATACAGTGTGTCTTTCATATTTCCCAGTGAAATAAGAGGGTCAGTCAGATGGACGAGATGAGGAGGAAGAAGAGAGGTACGGACTGCTGTATTTGAGAAACTGGAAACTTAAAGCTTTTTAAAAAATCAGATACTGGATCCATGATGGGAAGTTATGTTTTTTTTATATTGTAAAATGTTGTGCAAAACAAACAGAGGTATGTTAACTGTGTAATTCAAAGGTTGGATCAAAATACTGACCTTTCTGACTTTGAGTACATTTTAGAGCCTGTACTTTTTAAATTTCAATTAAATTGTTGTTAAGTTAAAAACATGAGGTCTGTACTTTTGCCACTGCTGCGGCTCCGCCTTTGATCTTTGAGTATTGTTTTCCGCTGTTTGCAGTCATGAAATCTTTTACATTAGGCTGCAGGAAACAGTTGTAGTCCGTGTAGGACCGTCCTAAAAGAGAGCGAGAGAGAAAATAAGAATTCTTTTAGTAACGGGAGGAAAGTACGTGCGCTCTTTTCTGCCACATTTTCCGTTTCCGGGCAGCGATGAGCACCACCGACAGGTCTCAAAGCGCTGCCAAATGTTTTAAGCTGAAAGACCGGAAGTTGCAGTGTGAAGCCCTTCCGGCTAACTTGACCGTGGCATGTCAACGCCAGTCGTTGATACGAGACCCAGCCTACACGTCGTAACTGTGAAAGTGGATGTGAGAGGAAGTCAGATCTATTAGCCTGACCTACCAGCCCTGTGGCTGTGGTTGCTATTTAAAGTGGCTAACAAGCTAGCTAACCTCCACCCGCTAACTTCACGATTTTGAGGCGGTTTAACAGACGAACGGTGGCGCTAGTACTACTCTGTTTACGGAGCTCAACACGCCAATTTCTCTTCCACAGACACGTCCTGCCACGATGGGTGAGTAGACTGCTAGCTAGCCAACTCCCTCTGTGCCGGGTTGCTAACCAGCTCGGCTCTCGCCATTCAGTCGGGGCATCGTCAGATGCTTATTATGAAAGCGGCCGCAGCATGCGACGTGTGTCTGACGGCGGGCGTTGTGTGTCGGCGTTACAGCCGCTGCGTGTGCTGTTCTGCTTCTGCTTCCCGTTTAACGCTGTTTTTAATGAAAAGCTGACTGTAGCTGGGTCGTGTGCTCGTGTCTGTCCAGTGCTCGGCTGGGTGGGTGGGGTACCCACTGTCCGCGCCTCCCTTTGTAACAACGCTTTAGCCGGACAAGTATTACGTTTGATCGCCGCTTTCCCGCAGCGTAGCTGGGACTGGGAAGCGGTCGAAGCAGCCCTCGGTTGGATGAATGTGCATCCTCTGAAATGGCAGTGCGCTGCTGCTGATGGAGCTCATGGCACTCTTCCATATCCACAGCTGTTATGCAATGCACCCAGCAGCCCACTTTGTGCTGCTGGATGCATTGCACTGCTCTATGTGACGTTATTGTTTCTGCATCTTGTTTGTGGACAGACTGAGCTCATGTACCACCGCATCTTTGTAGGTTTGTGTGTGAGCTGGCCTTAAAGCATGCTGTACATGCTTACCTGTCAGGCTTCAAATGCAGCACTCCTGTGAAGAAGAGGCGTCAATGATTGACAGCTCAAGCAAGCGAAATACTCCACCAACTGTATATTTGGCATCATGTCCATCATGTCTGTTCATACCATTTGTGTGGGTTGTGCAGTGCATCAGCACCTGTGATACTTTTTAAGGGACTGTGTTTGTGTGCACAACACTTAAAGCTGCCCATAGTCACTACTACTCGAACTAATGACGAACATCTTATAATCTGTTTTAGATATTAATCCAAACAACAAGTGGTTTGTTGCTGCGTGGGATTCAGTTCAATCAATGATCAGCAGATTGATGACTTGTAGTGCTCGTGGCTGGGTCAGGTGACCCTGAGTCCTCTGTTAGCTAGGTGTAGGCTGTGGGGGCTTTTCCACGCTGTGCTGAGTTTCCTCTTTCCTCACCTTTTTTCTTCACTCTTGTTCATTAAATGCTGACAGCTGTAATAATTAGTTATTACTTCCACAGTGTATCTTCTGTCCTGTTCCTCTTCTTTCACCCCTAACTGGGCACAACAATAAGCCACTCCTGCCGGAGGTTTCTTCCTGTTAAAAGGGAGTTTTTCCTTCCCACTGTCACCAACTACTTGCTCATAGGTGAACTGAATAAAATAAAGAGAAGAAGAACGAGCGAAATCAGATGATTAAACATTTTGGACAGAAGGAGGCTGATGAGGTCGGTACGTGACCAGATCCTCAGGGATGTTTCATGTTGACAGTTTTCCTTCCTGTATCAACACCTCCATCCCACTCTAAGCTCTTACTCTGCCTTTGTTCTCCTGACATATTGCTCTCTCTGCCCACCAGTACTGGATCATAGACCTGATACTGATGTTAATATTTAGTCGTTCAAGCTTTCTGATAATCATATGTCAGAATGGGACATTTTGAAAATGATATTAGCTCAGGCAGAGGCAGACGAGGGAGCAAAAAGAAGAGTTATTAGAATTAAACCCTAAATGACAAACACTGGCAGTTGAATTAGTTTTGTATTTCTGCTTTTATTGGCGCACTCTACAGGTGAGGAGCAAAAATGGAATAATATGGTAGAAATCTGACTTACAAACTGTAAATAGATGGTGGACGTCTACAGGTAGACCAGACTCCCCAACACATGATTCCAGTGGACGTCTACAGGTAGACGTCCACTGGAAACATGTGTTGGGGAGTCTGGTCATCCAATCAACGATGGTTCTAACTGAGCTCTGACATGACCAACACCTAACCACACAGCCTCGTGCTGTTCACCCACTTTTATTATACCTCATATGTAAAATGAACACGGAGACAACATGTACACTTAAATCAGTCAGAAAAGACATGGGCAACATTACAGTTACTCTGTTTACTATTGGTTTCATTCACTCATGAATGGGGCCCCTTATGCATTGTTCTTATGCAATGCTATGTTTAGTTGATTCGTGTAACACAGCGCTTCACACTGAGTACCACCTCATAACATCTATGGCTCTTGAAGTACCAGCCTTATGACCCACATTAAAGCCTATTTAACACCACATACAGGTTACACGAGACAATTTTATTTCTTATATGATTGTTATTCATTTTAACTGTCATGAACAGGATGAGTGATAATAATGATAACTGTACTGCATTGAAACAGGTGGGATATGCGGTCAGTAAGTGATGACAAATGAGTAAACTACACTACGTTTAAAAAGGCTGTTGTGTTTTTAACATGTTTTAATACTTTGTATTAGAGCAGGGCCAAAAATATTTATCACGATATACATTTGAAAATTTGCGATAACGATATAACTGACGATATAATTAACACAAGACAAAATACTTTACAACTCCTCAACTTTATTAGTGCAAAAAAAACCCATCAATGTATTTTCACTGAAACAAGCTGCTGTTTTTTTATCTGCATTAAAGGTATATAAACATGTAACAGTGCAAATGCAAATTCCTCGCTGACAGTTTAACCAAAAGGCATTTCCAGTGGAAACTGGTCGACATATCCTCAGCATAACCATGTATAATATAGGGGTGGGGGAAAAAATGGATACTGTGTAGTATGGTGATATTTTGTTTGCTAATAATGTATGGATACAGGGACAGCAGAAATCGATATTTTGTTACAAAAAGGTTTTTGTGCTCTGACTTCAGAGCATGTTGATCCTTTTTCTGAGCAAGAATCCTGACATTCCTTCACTGTCCAAATGTGTTTAACTTGTTTTTGGCAGCAATAAACATGACAGTTTACTTATTTTCATTTAAGACATGTTTTATTTTAATTAAGTTTAAAACTTTTATTTAATGTAAAATTATATTTTGTTTTAATTTACTTTCAAATTCTTCAGTTGCTGAAGGGGCTGCATAGTTTTCATAAACTGCATAGTTCAGAATAGCTATAATTGTACCAGATGGTTGATTCAGTTAAGTTGGACTAGACTGTAATACAAACCGTTCAGTTTGTCAACAATCAAACTGAAATGAGAGAAAGACTGAGTGTGAGACTTTGATATTAGATAAAATGAATATTGATAAAGTTTACCTTTATGTACAGAATCTGAATATCGCAAAATATTTTACAAAATTGCAATAATATCGTATCGTGCGTTAAGTATTGTGATAATATCGTATCGTGAGTTGTATGGTGATTCCCACCTCTAGTATAATATCCACAACACTTAAAAAGAGGTTATACACACACAATACGGTAATATTATGTTGAAGCACAGTGTATCACTGTAATGCTCCAACAATCCATCAAGCGGTGCGGCTTCGTAGCTTAGCAAAGTCGCACTGAAACACTTGACAGATTTTTGAGCGCCGTGTACATAAAATCGTTTCGAGGTCAGTAAACACAGCCAGAGTTCATACATAAGGCACACGGGATTATAAGGGGCACTGTCGACTTTCAGAAAAATCAAAGGATTGATTTTAAGTGCCGTATTTTCCAAACAACAACGACGACAACAATAACGACGGCCCGCTAGCATGCGCTACCAAAAATAGTGCTTTGTTGTGTATCTGACAGATGAAAGCTAAACCAGTTCCACCACTGAAGTTGCAGCATTTTTACAAACCAGATCAGGTTCATCCGTTTCATTCAACGATCCACTTTCACTCTTCTCATTCTCCGTCATGCTTTTTCGGCCATGTGCGTATGAAAACAAAGGCACTGCGCGTTTTCCCCATATTCTATCTCCATATTTCATTTTCTTGTCGTTGCCCAACATTATACCGGTGTTACCGTGAACGGTATGATATGGCCCCGCCCTACTTTGTATCTTGTTCTATTTAATCTGAACAAGCTCCTGAAAACAGTCGGCGATCGCTGTCAGCCTGTCTCGGTTTTTATTCCCACTGTTCATTTTAAAGCTTTCATCGAGTGGAAAAGTGTTAGCGTTCATCCTCCAGCTTCACTGTGTTTATGCTAGCATAGCTGTGTTAGCACACCATTATATAGCAGCTAGCCCAACTTCAGTAACCCTACAAACGTCACTGGTGTTTAGTTTCCTGTTTTCATCTATGTTGGACGTGACAGCAGAGCTGTACGTTTGAATGTTTCAGAAATCCCTCAGTCTGAACATGTTATATTATTTAATCTGGAGACTTCCCAGTACCACCAGTAGTATGCATACCACAGTTGAAGGACTGATATAACATCTATGAGTGTTGCTTTAACGTGTCAGGCTAAATGGCAGATGTGAGGCTGCTTCTTCAGAGTAGACATGACTTTGTCTCATCATGTGACACAATCATCAGCACAACACACAGATGATGTTGATGTTATTGGAAATATAGTTGAGTTGTGTGGTTATAACTCCCTGTCTCTTCTCCCACTGAGAGTTACACTTGCATAATTTAACAGTGGTATTAGATTAGTACTCGATAATGGCAGCACTGGAAAGTATTAGTATTCTGTTGTATTTATGGTTTGTTTGTACCACACTTAAGCCAACTGGCTTAAGTGTGGTACTTAAGTCCAGTTGCACCGGTGAGGTGGAGTTACTGTAGATCCAGAGACAGATAAGCTGCAGACATCATTTGAAACCAGTGTAAATTTAAAAAAGCAATATCGTGTGTGTGGAGACGTGCAGTCAGCAGGTACTTTAACATTCAGCCTTTGAAGCTAATAAGCATCATTTCAAAGCTCTTTCCCACAATTCCACAGTCCAAGTCTGCCTGTCAGACCTTTGGTGATGAAATGTTTCTGCTTCCAGACAACTTGAGTGACGCCCTAGAGAAACTGAAGATCGCGTCAACAGACAGCGCGACTGACAGTGTGGAGAGCTGTTTGGACTGCCTGCTGAAAGCCCTCGCCAACAACAGTGAGTACAGGCGTGTAACCTCCGTGTGCATCTGTCAGCACGCCTCCTTTGGACCACGTTTCCCAACTGCAACTCAGAAACATGTGAATAAATATCAGTCTTCATGTTTAGGCTTCAGCTCTTAAATCAGTGTGTTTACAAATGAACTGTACTTAACCCGTCCTCTGTTTTTAGTCTTCTGCATGTCCTCGCAGAGTGATCACTTTTCAAAAGTTGGTTGAGTTACAGTACACACAGTTGGCAGTTTCATATGTGGACCACTATAAAGACTGTGCAGCTTCAAATAACCTCACTGTCAATATGAGAAATCTAAATAGTCAGAGGTTCCTAAACAGCGGTGCTGTGTCCATACCACGGTGCTCCTACTGGTGTGGGCGTGGCAGGAGGGCAGCACGTGTCTTTGATTCTGTTGATTCTGTTTCAAATATCGTTTATTAGGAGCAAGTGTCATGATTGTTACAAATTGATAGAACTTATGCCCCATTTTTTTCTCTAAGCTTACAAAATAGACAAATAAACAACATCAAAAAAAACACCCACTATGGGCCCCAATCCACCTACTGCCAGAAAAAAAAGAAAGTTTATATTTTCCAAAGGTATGTAAGTAAAGGATGCCAGATTAATTCAAAGTCTTTTACATTATCATTCATGGTATATCTTGTTTTTTCAAGATGAAGAGTATTTGTAAGTTCTGTAACCACGTCTTTAATACAGGAGTCTCTTTGCCTTTCCAAAGCTGCAGGATCAGTTTCTTTGCAATAATCAATGCATATGACATAAACCTTTTTTGAGAGTGTTGTAAATTTTGTGTTTCTTTGGAGATCTCAAAGATAATTACTGTCGGATTTCTTACTCTTAAAAATATTAGACAAGTAGGTAAAAATGTCACACCAAAAACCCTGAAGCCTTGGACAAAGGGCAAAACAATGTAACAGATTTCCATAATGTATCATACATTTTTCACAGAGGGGGGAGCAGTCTGGGTACATTTTGTGAAGTCTTTCCCTTGAGTAACCTGTGTATAATTTTGTACTGAATTAAACAGTGATGGGAATAAAAGGCGTGTTTATGTTGCGTAAGACCTCCTGCCAAAAATCTTCTGATAGGGGGATCCCAAATTCCTTTTCCCACTCCTCTTTAATTGAGAAAGTTGAAGGTATACTCCTCTCCTGTATTGAGTTGTAGAATAATGAAATTCTCTGTTCAAACCCCCGTCTATCACTAAGGCATCTATCCAAAAAGTCAGACGGCATGTTTTCAAACTGCGGCAGATATGTACGGATATAGTTTCGTAATTGAAGATATCTAAAAAAAAGGTGTACACATTGATAGTGTTTTCAATTTGAAGTGCTTAATTATTTGTCTCCAGATTTGCAAGGTGGTGTGAATCACTGGGTTGGAATTATAGTGTGCGTTTGTCAAGGGAGTAGGAGAGAGTAATATTCCACCAACACAATAAGGAAGGCAATCCTCC